ATATTTATATGGAATTAAGCAAATAATGAACAAACAAAGAAACCACAATCGTTGTAGAAGTAACTGTGCATGTTCAGATTGTCCAATGAATTTATGAAAACGTTGCATTTTTCCTCGCAATATGAGTTTTATCGAGGCAATGGGAACCATTTGTGTAGAAAACGTGTACATGATTGATTCTTATACCCTACACCCTCGTTGTGGTGTAAAACTGTAGCAAGTTTGTACGGACGTATGTATGACTTGAAGTATACTCATTTTTTATAAAACCGATCGATTCAAAATTATTTTTTGATTCGATCTAAGCTTGCATGTCCGTCTGTCTCGGCTGATGTCTGTTCAAGTATTCTTGATTTGAACCTACAAGGTCACAATTTTCATGATATTTTGATAAAATTTTATCACACTGACATGTTTAGGCTCAAGGACGAACTCTATTGAATATGGTACGGATCAGACTACTTTTTCGATTACTCCCCGTGAAATGCCTTATTTCGATGAGTCGTTATAAGAAAAAATATTGTCATTATTAGAGTTTCGCGGCAAAATCCGCTATAGGATTTCGATAGTCTTGATTGGTGTGAAAACTTTGAATCGGATGGAGTCATTTTTTGAACCTCTTGCCGCACGACGCTTCCTACGTAAAAAGAACTAATTTTCAGTTTCAATATTTCTTGATGAAAACTCTTTCATACCAAGAATTTTACATAAAAATTAACTTACCAAATTTGGACCACGTTGATCTATATTTCGCAAAAACCAAAAAGTCCTAATTTTTAATATTTTATCATGAAAATTGAGCCTTAGTAAAATACCTGTAGGAAATTTGAGTCAAATGGGTCCATTATAAAAGGGGCTCTCAAGATAGCAAGCGCTGCTAAGGCAGCAAAGCCTAATTCGTGGCAACTAGTAAATAATAAACACTTTGACAAGCAAAATTAAGTTTACCCGCCTAGGTAGGCGAGGGCAAATAATCTTGACTAACAATCCTAATGATCGTGGGTTCAATTCTCTAGCGCGGCGGTAGAGCTTTCAATTAAAGCCGACGATATTAGATACTGGTGCATTTAGTCATAGAATTTATTTCTCTGCTAATAATAAATGAAGTTTGCACAAAGTTCATGAAAATTATGCATTTACATAAAAATAATGCATTAGGCGAAGTGATGTAGGGCATCTGATTAATCGACTGTACCCAATATACAATATATAGTTTTTATCTATTTGTTTTCAATAAAGAGATGTACGAGAAAAATTTATATTGGACAAATAGATGTTAGATGAATAGAAGGATGGAGAGGAAAGCCATCTAACCTAGCCTCAAAGGGAATGTACATTTTTGTTCACCCGCCCTTCAAGTCTTCAGTTCCAACTGCATTTTTTTTCCAATTTCGGTTCTATTGAACGACAGTTTGCAAACAATTTAAAATTTGTACCACCCTAACATCAATGTCGAAGTTATTTGTAAATGGAGTTGCGGAAGACATGAACGTGAGAGGGGTGTTTTCTAAAACAATCAAAGTCAACACGCAAAACTTATTTGCCCAGGTCAAGTAACACAGCTAACAGTACTTTTTATTCCTTTACAAAACACATCGGTCACCAAGTGCCAAGACTGACCCAGAGATATCGTTCTTAACGAAGTGCAAAGCCGTGAGTGCGTACGCATGATCGCAGCGCGTATCAAAATCTCAAGTCAATTCGATCAATTGTTTACGAGCTATGAGTAGCTTTAATGAAAAATTCGTAGGTCACGTCTTATGTAAGCATTGCCTTTTTGTACGAAAAAAATACCGCTCAAAATCGGTATTGACTATGCAAGTGTTGCGGAAAGTCTTCTCCATCAAAAGCATTAATTTGTCAGTGGTTTGTTTACTTTAAACGAGCCACCCCTGAGCTGAGCGCAGCAGACGCTTAAAAGAGAGGCTTACCTTAGAAAGCACACATCAAAAATATTCGAAACGAAAAATGACAGTCCAAGTGGCTATCTAATATTCCGAAAGATATCAAGAAGAAGAGCACACATTATTTTGTATGAAAATATCGACATGTATTAAAGCGATTGGATTAACAATCTAGTTGCTACCGCTCGCCCTATTTTTTTAGTCCTAGAATTTATTTCCTTACTGTAAATAAGTTAAAGTAATCCTAAATCTGGTTGAAAAACGATTTGCTCTAAAGATTATTTTGTATGCCTATCATTCATCATATTTTCTTCTTTATGCTTATTTTCATATTGCTGAGATCTCTGTTAAAACGCATTTACAGTAATAATAATAAAAAATAAAATAGTGCTGTCTGTTCGCACTCTACATTTTATTTGTAGAAAAAAACGAATTTATGAAAACTTTACTTTTGCATAATATTTAACCGGTTGTTGTCTTTGTTAAACAAAAGAAAGCTTTCCTTCATAACATATGGAAAAGCTAATCGTTGTAAAATTGCAACAGGGCTTTCAAAGTAAAAGAGTAAATTTATTACAACTCTGCTTAAAAAAACCACTATTTTTGCAAAGCAAATTTGGTCAAATTAAAGGAGACGTAAATGAGCGAACTTCGAATTTGGTAAAAAAGGAGAAGTAAATGAGCGAACTTCGAATTTGGTCGAATTGAAGGAAAAGTAAATGAGTGAATTTCGAATTTGGTCAAATTAA